CATAAGTCGTTCCTTATATGATTGTTATGCCATATTGTTTTATCTATTCTAAAAATATGCTGGAAACATATGCTCTTGACTAATCATTTTCTTCAAAATCAGTGTTAAACACAATGTGAGTCAGAAGCAAGATTCTAACAGATCGATTCTGGTCTTTCGTTCTCATCCCCAGACATGAGCAAATTTGTCTGATAGCATGCTGAAGAATTGTCTATAATAATATGGTGCTATAATTAAATCTGTATAAATGCTACTGCCAAAAGAAACACCAAAAATGGGTGGTGAATACAGCCAAGTAAATTCTAACTATGAAAGGAGGGTTCTGTACTGTGCTACATACAAGAGGCAAAGGCAAGATCAGACAGTTATGATGGGATCCTAAGGAAAAGTAAATAGCCTTGTCAAATTCAATGCAAGTCCTTTTTTGGAAACAGCTGCTACTGTTTATAATTCACAGGCACCATAAACACATAATTTAAAATACAGGCCTTGATTTTTCCCTGAAAAAATCATTTATGAAACTAAAAGGACATTTGTCATTCTTGGGACAAAAATTTTTAAAAAAGCAACAGAATGTCAATATTTCAGATAATTTTCCATTTTAGCTCGTCTAGTATTTCAACAAAGCACACTTTAGCTCTCTAAGTAACAGTGTGCAATGAAAATTTTACCCAGTTGAGCCCATGCATATAACCAGCCCAACTAAGAAACTAGTCACTCTGCATGACACACTGTTCATGTGGCCACAAATCTAGGACTAGACAGGCAGTGGACCTAGGGACAACAAAATAGTCTGTTCTGCTAAAATAATGCAGTATAACAAAATGACTTCCAGTGACGTTATACCCATAGATCAGTGTCTCCCTTAGCCACCTGCAGAGAAGCAGCCTCTCGAAGTAGATGGGAATTAATGTAGAGATACATATCTGGGCTATGTGCAGCAAGAGAGACTGGACCATTCAGGCTTAAATGGGCCATCCTCATCAAGCACGTTTCCCCTCTCAGCCCAAACTGTGGCTCAGGGAGCTATGCAAAAGAGGAAATGGAAAGGTTTTAAGTGCCTTAGGGGACCCATGATCCCAAGAAAAGGGCACCTTCCAGACACAAAGGGGCTCATGAACATTTGAACTCACAGAGACTGGGCCTGAGCAGACAGGGTCCCAGCACTGATGGGGGAAAGTGGACACAAATCCACATCCCTAACTGAGAAGCCCCCTCCAAGCGACAAATGCTTGTAAAGAAAACCTAGTTTTCCCCAGGGAGTCTCACTGCCACACAAACCACACCCAAGGGTGGGCTCCAGCAAAAGGTCAACACTAAACAGATTCAATGCTATTACTCTAGACTTTTCTTTTGTCTTACAATGCTTGCTTTGGGCTTTTTTAAAAAATATAAATAGAACGGGTCTTATGGTTTTCAATTTTGTGTTATGGTTTTGTCTGTGTTTTTGTGCTTTTCTTTCTTTCCTATTGATTTATTTGATTGTTTATTTCCTGTTTGCTTTCTAAAGAGAGAGAAAAAAGGCATTGAGTGGGATGGGTGGTGAAGTGGGGAGGATTTGAGAGAAGATGGGGGAGGGGAAAATATGAAAAGACTATATTCTATAAAATTGTTTTCAATTTAAGAGAGAAAGAGAGAGAGAGATCACAAAGTGGCTCAGAGGATGTAAGTGCTTTTATGCAAATCTGATGGCCTGAGTTATTCCAGATCCCCCAGGTGATAAGAATGAGTTAATGAACCACAGTGCTTATAGTCACTGGGACTGATCCCTGGGAAGTGATGCCTGGAAGGCTTGGGGAAGACCTCACCTCTGTTGGTAGTCTCCAGGGGCTGCAGTCTCTGGGATTGCAGGCAGAGTGGTCACCTGAGACCCAGCCCATGGGAGACAGCCAACCCCTGACACTATTAATGATACTCTGCTGTGCTTGCAGACAGGAGCCTATCATAACTGTCTTCTGAGACGCTTCACCCAATAGCAGATCAAAACAGATGCTGAGACTCACAACCAAACATTGGGCAGAGCACAGGGAGTCTTGTGGAAGTATGGGAGGAAGAATAAAAGGACCCAGAAGAGACACGAGTTCCACAAGAAGACCAACAGAGCCAACTAAGCTGGGCCCAGAGTAGCTTACAGAGCACCAACCAAGGACCATGCAAGGACTCAACCTAAGCTATTATATGTATATGATGGTGGCTTGGCCAAAATGTGCATCCTCCAGAAAGAAGAGAGGGGACCATCTGTCACATGAACTCTGTTGCCTGCTTTTCAATCACTCCCCTGGCAGAGCTGCCTCTCCAGGCTACAGGGGAAGAAGATGCCCTAAGTTCTGATGGTTATTGATGTGTTGGTATGAGTTGGTAGAGGGGTGGCTCCCTTATCTGAGGAGTAAGAGAGGGGAGGGAGGGAGAAGCGGGAGGGAGGATGGGAATGGGAAGAGACGAGGGAGGGTCTATGATCAGGATGTAAAGTGAATTAATTAATTGGTTAATTAATTAACTTAAACAAGAGTGAACCAATGCAGGGAAATTGTCCTCTGAACTCCACATTCATGCCATAGCATTTGTGTACCTGTACACACACACACACACACACACACACACACACACACACACACACTCCATAAATAATATATAAATAAATAAAACCTCAAGTTTTTTTTTTCCCGAGAAAACAGTTATTAACTGTGCTCTATAATGGAATGTGCTCTATAATTTATGGAATGATATTCTAAAATATCATTCATAAGAAAGTTATGAAGGGTCAGAGTTAAAATTTCAGCTATAGAATAGACTTGATGGAACATTCTTCCCTGCTCTCTGTATTCATTTCTATGCCCTTCACTTCCTTTATCAATAGGCAATGTGAATGGATTCACCCCTCTATGAAGATGGCTATGACCATTGCAAAACAACGAATTAGGCTCTTATCTGTGTATTCACAGTCACTTGCAAATAATCCATGTTCTGCATGATACTAAATTACAGATACTCATGTGGAATCTTCCAGCATCTATTATGTGTCAAATAGTCTTTTTTAAATTTTATTTATTTATTTATTACAATTTATTCTCTTTGTATCCCACTGCACCCCCTCCCTCGTCTCCTCCCAGTCCCACCCATCTTTGCTCTTCTCCCCCTATGCCCTTTCCCTAGTCCCCTGATCGGGAGGACCTCCTCCCTGTAGACAATTAATACCTTATGAATAGAAAAGGTATTTCAGTTCACCTTTTCATCTACTTTCTGTGTTTAAATGATGTTTCCAAACGTATGCTCTAAGTTGAATGCCAGCTAATATTTTCGTGTTTTTCTTATTATATTTACCATAGAAAAATAAACTTTTTTTTTTTTCATAAGAGTAGCCAAACTTTGGGCAGAGTGCAAGGAATCTTATCAAAGAAGGGGGAAATAGAAAGACCTGGAGGGGACAGGAGCTCCACAAGTTGAGCAATAGAACCAAGAAATCTGGGCTCAGGGGTCTTTTCTGAGACTGATACTCCAACCAAGGACCATGCATGGAGATAACCTAGAACCTAGTGCCACAGATGTAGTCCATGGCAGCTCATTGCCCAAGTGGGGTGCCTAGTAATGGGAACAGGGACTGTCTCTGACATGAACTCAGTGGTTGGCTCTTCGATCACCTCCCCCTGAGGAAAGAGCAGCCTTACTAGGCCACAGAGACAATGCAGCCAGTCCTGATGAAACCTGATAGGCTAGGATTAGAGGGAAGGGGAGGAGGACCTCCCCTATCAGTGGACTTGGGGAGGGGCTTTAAGGAGATAAGGGAGGGAGGGTGCAGGTAGAAGGGGATGAGGGAGGGGGCTACAGCTGGGATACAAAGTGAATAAACTGTAATTAATAAAAATAAATAAATTTTAAAAAGGACGATGTTCTTCCAAACTACATTCCACTGTATTAAATGAAAACAGGACTATACAAATATTTTACAATGTGTTTATCTTTTTATATGTGTGTGTACTAAGTATTAAACCCAAAGCTTAGAATACGGTTTGAATATAAGTACATGTATATGCTTTACCAATGAGCCAGTCTCCTACCTCTGGTATTAGTCATCTTAATGCTCTCCATGTAAAGAATTTATAAGATAGTGTAGTCTGTGTAACCAGATGAAGCAACATACATTAAGGGTGAATGTATATTAAGTAGTAATATATTTAGTATTACTTAACACTAGAATGTTTTGTAAAGAAGCTATTTTCATGTAAGAGATAATAGTAAGGTGTTTTTCCACAGAAAGATATTTACAAAACACACACACGAGAACCCCCCTGTGCAACAGATAGAAAACACTATAGAAAACCAATCAAAATGAATTGTGAAGCCCAACCCCAATAGATACATCTACAACAAAGCTTCTAGTCTCAGGGATTATTGTAGCTTGGGGTAGGAGATACTGTAAAAGCCAGATAACTGGGGTGTTTGCTCTGAGGCTGTGTCTCCTAGAAATGTCAGACAGTACCACATAAAGTCTCAACAATATGACTGCATAAACTTGAGCTAGACAAGGATGACAGCACACAGGCTAATGTGGAGGAGGGAGGCTGGTAAAGCCTCAACACCACACATACACACAGCAACTATAGACAGCTAAGTAACACTGAAGACACAAGAGTCTTCCCCAAAGAAGATCACACCAGCTGTTATTCAATACCAAATGGTCAGCCGGAAAACAAGGAAACAGGTGACGAATTTGACAAAGAAGGAGGAGCACATGGAGAAGTCTGGACAGAGGAAGGGGAGCCACAACAGCATGATTATATTATAATCTCAAAAAGAAATATATATTTTTTAAAATACACATATTGGGCCTGACCTTAGCATTTTTGCATTCTTTCTTTCTTCTCCACATTGATCAAATGCAAAGGCAAACAAGCTTATTTTAACTAAGTTGAGAAAGGCTATACATAGACATTCAGTTCAAGGATCATAGAAAAGGAGACCTAGATGTCTCATATGAATCACAAATGCTGTCTGTCTCCTACCTGTGTTCCTAAGCTGGCTGTCATCATGTGAGTCAGAAGTTTAGCTGCAAACATCGAGTATCTGGCACAGAACACATGTGAAACAACAGCCAAGCAAAGACCTGTAGAAACAAAAGAAGCTGCATGAGCTTCCACAATCCATGAAGAAATTATATGTATGGAATGAAAAATCTCAGGGACTGTTAAGCACAAAAGTGCAGCCTACTCAGACCAGCACAATACCTCTGGGAAAGATTATGCTGAAATTTCATCATATTCCATTTTGCATGATACATAGCACCTTCACATTTATCAATTAACCCAAAGAATAACTTTAATTTTCCTGTTATTTACAAGTTGTCCGTCATGTAAAAAATAACATTAATAATTTTGTTTGTTTGTTTTGTTTTGTTGAGACAGGGTTTCTCTGTGTAGCCTTGGCTGAACTGAACTCGATGTGTAGACCAGGCTGTCTTTGAACTCATAGAGACTGGCCTGCCTCTGCCTCCCTGAGTGCTGGGATTACAGGTGTATGCCACTGTACATTAATAGTTTTAATCAGTACTTTATTTTCTATGTTGCTGTTAGTTAGCTTTACTGTTTAAGAAATGCTTTTGTAGAACTGAAGCAAATGCATGATACTGATGTATAGAATTCTTTGAAAAATTATAAATACTTAGAACATGAAAGGGGCAATCACATAAAGTTACACTCCTTGACTTTTCTATGTAAACAATGTAATCAATTAGACTTGGTTGATGAAATATATTTGTTATAGAATAATTCTGTTGATGCATATAAATTATGCATAAGCATAATTTCAGAACTATAAAACATGATAACATTGAATAAAGTCAACAATTAGGTAATAAATAACAATACTTAATAAATGATTAATGGATGAAAAGAAAGCTAGAGGATCCAAGATGGCTGTGCCAATCACACAGTGTCTGATCAGCAGGGCAACAGTGACTGCACAGCAACCAACAGAATGAAATGTGGGCCCCAGAGACTGAGTCTCCCAGTCAAAGGAAAGGCCATGCTGAGGAAATCAGGTCCAACCTCAGGTCACCCAGGTGATCCCCAGAAAAGTTACTGGGTCCTGAAGACTCCAGGTCTCCAGCTTCTACTTACACACTGCATACTGTGTTCATCTGCCAATGAACATCTGCTGAGTACCAAGGCATGCAGCTCCAGCCTTGGGCCTCCTGATGCCTGGGAGCCATGGGAACAGCCCCAGATGCTGCTCCAAAGTTCAAGCCTTCTCTCTAGGGAAACCCACTGAACCTCTGGGCTTTTGGGCTCTCCAAGATGGCTGCATTCAGCAAACACAGTGTCTGAGCACAGTGTCTGGGCAGCTGCACCTCACTAACCTCAGAGTAAGAAAGCCAGTGGTGGGCAGCTGTCTCAGGGACTTCTCCTGGTGGGAGGAGAGCCCCTGGGCTCATGAGGCGTCCAGTTAATCTACAGCTTCATACACCTGAAAGGAACCTCTGCACTTCCCTGAGAACCGCCAGTCAGGCAGAAACCACACACACCAATCTAAGGAGGCCTCCTTTGGGAACAGCCAGCTTCTTGCCCAGGATTCTTCCCACACTGGCCCCCTTCCCGCCTCCAGGGCACCAGAAACTACCAACCAAAGCCAGAGACAACCAGATGGTTAAAGGCCAGGGTAAAAATGCAATCAACAAAAGAAAAAGCAACATGGCATTCTAAAACCCAGTTATCCAAAGGCCAGCAGCCCTGGATACCCTAACACAACTGAAACACACACACAAAAATGACCTTAAATATATGCTTATGAAGATGATAGCAGAGGAAATGAATAAAATCCATAACAAAATACAAGAAGATGCAGTCAAACAGATTGAGGCCATTAGAGAGACCTGTACAGACAAAAATATTCAAAGAAATACAGCAAAATGCTAACAATCTACTGAAGAAAATCAACAAAACAGTTCAAAGTCTGAAGATGGAAATGGAAACAATAAAAAAAAGCACAAACTGAGGCAATCTTGGAAAGAGAAAACTTAGAGAAGAAAATAGGAACTAAAGAGGTAAACATCTCCAACAGACTACAAGAGATGGAAGAAAGAATCTCATGTGTAGAAGATACAATGGAAGAAAGTGATGCATCCATCAAAGGAAATGTTAAGTCTAAAAAATTCCTGACACAAAATATCCAAGACATCAAGGACACTGTAAAAAGATGAAACCTAAGACTAATATGAATAGATGAAAAAGAAGATTCCCACTTTCATAGCCCAGAACACATTTTCAACAAAATCATAGAAAAAGTCTTTAATTTAAAGAAAGTGATGCCTATAACCATACAAGAAGCCTACAGAGCACCTAATAGATTAGACTAGAAAAGAAAATATTCCACCCACATGATAATCAAAACACTAAATGTACAGAACAAAGAAATAATAGTAAAAGCTGCAAAGGAAAAAGGCCAAGTCACATATAATGACAAACCTATCATAATCACACCTGACTTCTCAACAGAGACTATGAAAGCCAGAAGGTCTTAGACAGATGCCATGCAGACCCTAAGAGAACACAGATGGCAGCCCAGTACCCAGCAAAATTTTCAATCATCACAGATAAAGAACACAAGATATTCCACAAGAAAAACCAATTTAAACAGTACCTATCCACAAATCCAGGGATACAGTATATTCCAGAAGGAAAAAAAAATCTAACATAAGAAGGCTAACTACACCCAGGAAAACACAGAAAATAAATAACTTCACTAGAGCAAAACTAAAAGTAGCCAAGCACAAAAATGTGCTACCACAACCAACATCACAATAAAAGGAACTAACAGTCACAGGCCATTAACCTCTTTCAACATCAATGAGCTCAACTCTCCAAAGAAAAGACAGAGACTAACAAAATGGATGTGTAAGCAGTTTCCAACATTCTGCTGCATACAAGAAACACTCCTCAACTATACCACAAGGACATTTGCTCAGCCATGTTTGTAGCAGCTCTGTTTGTAATAGCCAGAATCTGGAAACAACCTACATGTCCCTCAACTGAGGAATGGATACAGAAATTGTGGTACATCTACACAATGGAATACTACTCAGCAATTAAAAACAAGGAAAGCATGAAATTTGCAGGCAAATGGTGGGATCTAGAAAAGATCATCCTGAGTGAGGTATCCCAGAAGCAGAAAGACACACATGGTATATACTCACTCATAGTGGTTATTAGACATATAATATAGGATAAACATACTAAAATCTACACTCCTAAAGAAGCTCAACAACAAGGAAGACCCTAGGGGAGATGCTCATTCAGAAGGATGAACAGGATAGACATCAGAAACAGAAGACAGGAAACAGGACAGGAGCCTACCACAGATGGCCTCTGAAAGACTCTACTGATTAAAGTATCGAAGCAGAGGCTGAGACTCATAGCCAAACTTTGGGCAGAAGGCATGGAATTTAATGAAAAAAAGGGGGAGATAGAAAGACCTGGAGGAGACAGGAGCCCCAAAAGGAGAGCAACAGAGCAAAACAAAACAAAACAAAAACAAATAAACTGAGCCCTGAGAGCCCTGCAGAGACGATACCCCAACAAAGGACCATGCATGGCAAGAACCTAGAACCCCTGCTCAGATATAGCCCATAGACTGAGTCTCCAAGTGGGTCCCTAGTAAGAGGAACAAGGGCTGTCTCTGCCATGAACTCAGTGGCTGGCTTTCTGATTACCTCCCCCTGGGGGGTGCAGTCTTACCAGGCCATAGAGGAAGACAATGCAGCCAGTCCTGATGAGACCTGATAGGCTATGGTCAAAGAGAAGGGGAGGCGGACCTCCCCTACCAGTGGACTAGGGGAGGGGCATAGGAGGAGAAGAGGGAAGGAGGGAGTGATTGGGAGGAAATGAGAGAGGAGCCCACAGCCAGGATACAAAGCGAGTAAATTGTAATACATAATTAATAAAAAAATTTTTAAAAAGAAACACACCACAGCTACTCTCAGGTACACATTACCTGAGAGTAAAGGGCTGGAGGAAGGTTTTCCAAGCAAATGGACCCAAGAAGCAAGTGGACGAGCCATTCTAATATCTAATAAAAGAGACTTTCAACCAAAATTAATCAAAAAAGATGAAGAAGGACATGTCATATGCACAAAGGAAAATTCCAAGATGACATCTCAATTCTGAACACCTATGCTTCCAATAAAAGGGCATGCACATTTGTAAAAGAGACATTAATAGAGCTTAAACCACATATCAATCCCCACACATTATTAGTGAGAAACTTCAACACCCCACTCTCATCAAAGGAAAGATCAATGAAACAGAAATAATGACACTAACAGATGTCATGAATCAAAATGACCTAATATCATCTATTCACTTTTCACTTTTCACTTTTCACCCAAACACAAAGAATAAAACTTCTTACCATCTCATGGAACCGTCTTGAAAATTGTTAAATAGTAGGTCACAAAGCAAGCCTCAAGAGACAAGAAGACCACCATGTCAGACCACCATAGGCTAAAGGTGGGCCTCAACAACAAGAGAAAATTTTAAAAGCCGCCAAACACACACACATGGAAACTCAACAACTCCCTACTCAATGACAACTGAGTCAGTAACACACACACATGGAAACTCAACAACTCCCTACTCAATGACAACAGAGTCAGTAAAAAAATTAAGGACTTCCTAAAATTCAATGAAAGTGAAGGCACAACATACCCAAACTTATGGGACACAACGAAAGCAGTGCTAAGCACTAAGTACCTCCACAAAGAGATTGGAGACATCCCATACAAAAAACTTAATGGCTCACCTGAAAGCCCTAGGGGGGGGGGAAAGCAGACACACCCTAGAGGAGTAGACAGCTGGAAATAATCAAACTCAGGGCTGAAATCAATGAATTAGAAACAAAGAGAACAATTCAAAGAATCGACAAAACCAAGAACTGGTTCTTTGAGAAAATCAACAAGATAGACAAACCCTTAGCTAAACTAACTAAAAGCCATAGGGACACTGTCCAAATACACATAATCAGAAATGAAAAGAGAGATAACAGACACTGAGGAAACCCAAGCAATCATTAGGTCTTACTTCAAAAGCCTATATGCCACACAATTTAAAACTC